ATTGTAATTTAGACCTGTGGGTGCTGTTCCACAGTATTTCTGCTTATTCATCCCCCTACATGCATGGCCTTGATCATGAAATACACAGAGGAACACAGAAATTCACTGGTGAGGAAAACTTGCAGTACTTCATTGGTAAGGTTACCCCATGTCACAGCTCATTTCTGCAAGCCAAGCCTTGCTGTCTGTGATAATGAAAAAAGGTTTTCAATTTGTAAGCAGTGCCATTTCCTTCAGCAGCTCCCAAGAGTAGCACTGTGTTGAGGCAAGGTAAAGCTCCTTCAGTGGTTTCAGGTCATCTCAGCTGCTTTCGGAAGGGTAGAAGATGAATTTTATCACACCTACTAGAACAAAAAGATTTCTCATGCTTTTCAGCCTTTTGTTAGAGATTAATCCATGCAAGTAAAGGAGAGAGGGAAACAAAATTACAATCACACAGTGAGAAAGAGGTTTGTGAGGGAGCTAAAAGTAATATCCACATTAAAGCTGCTGGCCCATTTTTATACACATGGCCAGCATGAAAAGGCAGTTATGGATGGTTCAGGCCTACCTACAGTTTTGCTTTTTCAAGGTATGACTTGGTATTTTTGAATATCAAGTTTTTGATACTCAAGTTTGAATTTCAAGTGAGTTTTTTTTGAAGATATTTTTTAATCACTTAGAGTTTTGTCTAATTCTAGGCAGGTGAACTCCACTAAAGCTGCTGCTGGCACACAGATGCATACTTGTTGAATGGGAAGGCTTTCCATGAGTTTCCTGACTTGGTTTCAAGTGCCATTGTAAGAATTTACCTTGATCATAAGTATTATTTCACTAATGGGCAGGAATCTGGTGGAATACCCACCCTAAGGGGTCTTGAACTTGGAGAAAATAGTAAGAGGTCTGGGATATGCAGAAATATTTTCAAAATATTTTGAAGCATACTACTTGAGAGCACAATTTTTTACTTCTCTTTCAAGTAGGTGAACAGCAAATTTTTATTGCCACTGGGTATCCAAAATGACATCTGGTATGCTCAGGAGCCAATGCAACCAGAAAGTGCACTCCAAAGAGAGATGATCATTGTCTCCTTCTGTGATATGGAAAGGCAAATTGGAACAATTGTTACTTTCCAAAAATCACATGTTTTCCAGTAGGCTGTTAGAAGTATGATTTAAGACATCAGCATATTGTAAGGATTCAGCCTGAGAATTAAAATATATATTACTTAATACCCAGTTTATGCATTGAGGTAGTGTTGTAAAAGATTAGCCAAAGAGGATTGAAAAGAGGTTAATTTACTACACACACAGCTTGGATTGCTAACAATAAATATGATTGATGAGGACTGGCTCATAAAGAAGCAGAGCTGCAGTCAGCATGGACCTTGTGAAATAACTCTCAGTCTCTCCCAAGGGGAAGTTCTGTCCTATTTCAGCCAAGTGGAGTTTGAAAACTTTATGATAAAAGTCTTTCCTGTGCTGACTTTATTTTTCTCCACATATTCTTGTTTCAGATCACAGATGTTTTTAAAATAAAACAAAAAACTGAAACAACTTTTAAAACACAGTTGAATGATTCATTAAGGTATGTACATTTATTTTTAAATGCACTTCTATTTCTTGAGAGCACTGAACTACAAAGGTTATAATGAGGCAATAATCTGCATGAAAGTGATAAGAAATCTAGACCTCCATGGTCTCCAAGCAATTCTCCTGTAATAACTCTTCACACACATGTAGCCCCAGTTCCTATAAGCAGAAAAATTAAAAATAGAAACAGAGTACCATCAGAAAGGATCACAGACCAAGCACCAAATGCTTAATTAAAAATAATTATGAGGCTAAAACGAAATCATTTTATTAAAAATATTAAAATACTATTATCAGGATAATTACTGGTATATATCTATACTACATTAAATTATGCATTTTACTTGTGGGTTGATACCTCCACTCTATTTGGAGCTGTTAATCTTCCCTAGCTCATTCCCAACCCCCTTCTCTCCAAGACGTCAATCCTCCCTTTCCCTGCCCCTTTCCCCAGGACAGTCCCTGCCTATTTAGTGAGGCTCAACACCCTATTGGTTACTTTGTGTTACTCCACTCCCTTGTTTTCCCTGATAGGTTTATGATATGTTAGTCCTGCCCTAAACTCCTCCCCTGCTATTCCCCTATTAGTCGCTGTTCCTATACCCCTCCTCCTGAGTTCTTGTATAAAACATCCGTCCGCCCCGCCCAATGGGTCTTGAGCCTCACTAAATAAACCCATCCTGTTCACCCCCAAGTCCCGTGTCGCCTCCATCTGTCCCCGTGCCAACAACTGGGACCGCAGAGCTTCACAGGGCATTCGGCCGCCCGTTCTCTTCCCTCGCCGCCCAGCACGCCCACGCTCGGGGTGTCGCGGTGAGAGGGGCTGACCGCGACGCAACATTTAGTGTTTGCTGAAGCGTCTGATTTGAAATAATGTCATTGACCCCTGAATCATGGCTGCATTAATGCACTAAAAACAGACTAAGTGCAAACATAGCACAAAACTTCCCAAACTACTGAAGTCAGACACCAAGGCAGTAAACTTTTGTTTTCCCTCTAACATTGGTTCAGACTTTAGGGTAAAGAGATGCAAACAAAGCATTAAAAAAAGTTTGGAGAGACATCAATATTTCTTTGTCAGTCCTCATAACTCAGCTCTGGCAAAGGGCTTGGCATCAAAACAGACTGAGAAAAGAAAACACAGTGCTTACCAACACTACACAGGTCTCTGTAGAGCAAGCAAGGATGCAGGCAGAATGTGGTGAATAAATACAGAGACATGAGTTTACTTATAAGCAGTTGTTCTTACAAGTTAAGATTAGGCCTAATTTAAAGCTGAGCAGGGATAAAAATTGATTTTCTGTAAACAGAAACAAATGTGAAGCTGAATGAAGCTGGATGAAGTACCCCCTTGTGAAAACTAGGGAAAAAAATATCAACTACTTTTATATGCTCCAGATAACAACCTACAAAGAGGTCAGGCAGGAAAATCCAGGGATCTGGCTCTAGATAAAACCACAAGATTTTATAAAAATGGATTTTAGCAATCACTCAACTTCAATAGAAGTAACATAATCAAAAACCTGAAAGACCAGCTTTCACACTAGAGGATGAGAATCTGCAGTGGAGCTTTTACAGCCTGTTTCTCAAAGGAGCATATACTGTGCACAGTGAGACTGAACTATATTGCTGAGAGACTATGAAAATGAAATTCTAGCACTGCAAATGGAGCAGTCTGTGTCATGGTTGCTCCTGTCACTGGTAGGGATTTCAGGAGCTGCTGTTCAAGCTGAAACCCGCAACAGCACAGCTGGAACAGAAGAGAACCACAGAATGATCTGAGTTGGAAGGACACCCAAGGATCATCAAGTGCAACACTTAAGTTGGCCCATATACAGGGATGAAACCCAAAATCTTGGTGTTAAATGGCATCATGCTTTAACCAACTGAGCTAATCTCAGGGCCAGGCTCTGGTGGAGATATGTATGGGACAGGTAAGTAACTGTCCCATTTGAGGGTCACAGAGAAGTAATTTAGAGCAGTATTTATAGGGATTAGTTTGTGCAGACTATCTGCATTGTCTTGTGCTACTGGAAAAAGTTGTGTAGAGCTAAAGAGCTGCAAGCCTGAGAAAAGCCTTAAGTCATCAGGTTCATCTGCAGCACACAGGTGCTGAAATACTGCACTCAACTGGCTCATCAGCACCAACATGCAGCTCTCCATTTTGCAGTTTTATGTATTTTAAGGCAGCCAGAGGTTTACTCTATGATTTTTCCTAGTTATACTGCAGTCTGTGTCATTTCAAAGGAGGCTTGTTTCTACTCTGCCTTAAGAGGTGCAAAACCTTGAAAAAATATAAAAACCTTACACTACAGAGTTATTGCATCAATCTGAACTGCTGACAGGACATGCAAAACATGAAAAAAAACTCTTCAAGAAGAGAAACAGACTCCTGAGAAATATTCAGGAAACTGGTTGGCCAGAGAAGCTGTGAATTCTCCATCCCTGGAAGTGTTCAAGGCCAGCTTGGAGAGGCTTGGAACAGCCTGGGACATTAGAAGGTGTCCCTGCCCATGGCAGGGGCTTGGAACTGGAAGGGTTTTAAGGTCCTTTCCAAGCCAAGTCATTCTATGCTTCTGTAAAACAAGGCAGATTGGTGGCCAGAACAAAAACACAACCAATTCACCCATGTACCAAAAGAGCAACTGCTTTCTTAATAGACTTCTATTATTTCTGAAAATATGTCAGCCTGGGATATCCTAAATGAGTTCAAACAAGTACAATAAGCAGACACAGCATTTATTCCGGTTCTCTGACAATAGTACCACAGCTTCAATAAGAAATGTAACACCTTTTAAGTCAAGAGTCAGAGAACAGTATTTACACGTGGTTAACAAGAGAAAACCAGTCCAAAAGGAAACAAAAAAAAATTCCATCAAATTCACAAGGGAGGATTTCTTTTGACTAATGTGAAAGTTAGACAAGTAAAATACAAGAAAAATACCCCAATGTGCTGGTTTTATTCTTTCCTGTGATTGTTAAAACAGCCTTTTCAGGAGTTTGAAAAAGGCTGCGTTCACACTGCCTGTCTGAAGGGCAAAGTTTGATGTGTGGGCAGCTCTCACTTTTCAAGCTGAACTTTTCACATGGAGTTAGTGAGAGCAGATGTCCAAGAACAAAGAACAACATAAAAGATTAGGGTTTGCACATGAATTCCAAATTAGGAAAAATAAAAAAATGCAAATAATTTTAATTTTTTGACCTACAAAACATGTGCAAACAGTCACGCACAGAAAACAAGCTATTCAAAGTTTATAAAACTGCTAAGATACAAAAAGGCAATTTATGATTCAGAAAAGATAGCCTAGGATAGAAAAGCTGCTTAATTTCAGCCTGCTATTCACCTCCTAGTGCCCAAACTGAAAAACATAGTTTTTTCAGTATAGGAAAAATAGGTTGTTTTAAATGTATTTAAATGCAAACAAAACATACATTCCAAAGGAAATGCCAGAATCCCTGCTGGTATGACCCTCCCAGTCCCAAAATGCCCTGTGAGACAGACCTTTTTTCCTCCATAAGCCATTTGACTGTTTTAATTGTTGATCCTTCAAGTTATTTGGGAAAATGACACATTTTGTCTTGGTTCTGAAAAAAAACTTGAACCATTAATATACGAAGATTAAAATATATGCTTTTTAAATTCAAATTGTACAATTGCAGATTCAGCCTTGTACAGTGAGCCAGCAAATCTCTCACTGAAGTGCCTACATTTTTTGATCACAAACGATATGACAGAATTATGCCCACAATGCTTTTGGGAATGACTCTACAAACTTTCTGCATGAAATAAATGAAAATTTCCTTCTTTCTGTTTACACTGATCTATTTTTTCTCACTTCCCTCGCTAAATAAGAAGACTATGCAGGCAAGTTGGATGATTTATTGCTGCACTTAAGCTTTCAAAATCCTTTAGCTTTTTTTTTTTTTCTTCAGTTTTAAAGAGCAAATTTTTCTTCCAGATATGTGTTAACCTCTTTTCCACAAGTCATATTCTTGTGATGGTGGTAAAATGTTTTTGCTATAGAACATAAGTTTATGGAAGGGTTTTTTTTGCTTTGGAAATTTTCGATGCCCATGTACAACTACAGTTTGTGACACAAGTACAACTTGCTTACTGGAAATTCTGTGTGTAACTGCGCCAGATATTGTGAAACCAATCATTTGAAAATACATGTATTCATTAGTTTAAAAATAACCTTTGAGTTTGGACTACCACACTTAAATTCCACGCAGTTTTCCAAATAAATAGCAGTCTTTCCACACGGCACTTTAAACAGAAGGTATGAGTAAAAGTATAAAGTGGTCACAATAAAAAAATAATGGAGTTATTGAACAAATTTCAAACCGGAAAATGAGACTATTTGCAAATAAAGTGCACAAAGCTGTCCTTTTTTACCTTGGATGAACTCAAGCATAAGTCCCTTTTTCTGCAACTTTGAGAGCTGCGAAAAATGTCTGAGGCAAGTACTTTATAATAATAAAATCCTCCATCAGAACCTTCTTTTTGAATAACCTCTTGGCATGTTCCTCTGTTGTAGTCACTCCTTGTCTGCTGAGTCCTAGTTTTCTGAACAATAACTTGAGGTTTCTCAAACAGCTCAGAAAACTGAAAGCAAGAGGAGAATTTAATTTAATGTTCCTGTCATCACACTGGATCAGAAGAGCCTCATGGAGAAATAATACATAGCTCTCACTTCAGTTTCTATGCCATAACTCCAAGTCTCTGAGGGATGTGAAAATCCAACAGGGAGCCTAAACTGGCAGGTGTCATATTTAATGTATGTGCAGTCGCGTTCCAAACAAATAACCCCACTCCAGGAACAAGCAAATAATTCTTCTGAGTAAAAGAATCCAGATATGTACTTTGGACTGCAGAAGAGATATTCCTTAAAAAGACTGTCTATACAAGCCATCCCTTCTTGGTGGTTCAGATATTCAACCTTTCTACAAAATCATCAATCTTGTTTTTATCTGGGAACTCAGAGTCATACCAAGGGCAAGACGCTGCTGTTTTTGCTGTAAACAGAACTAATCATCCAAATTTTTCAATTAATTCAGCTGTGTTAAGGGCAGTTTCTGCTTCAGCAGTCTGATGAATTCAGCAAGCCAGAGGAAGCTGGGGCTGCTGCAAGGCCAGTGTGAAACCAGCAGAGCCAGTTTGCACAGAGTTTGAACTACTACTAGAACTACAGCTGCCTATCAAGGGCTACATAGCAGCTAAGGGACACTGTGGGGGATACCCTACCACAATAAACAAACCAAAAATATTTGTTCCCTGAAAGGTACCCAGGATCCCCTTTCTCTGTGCCCTTGCTGCCTGTGTCCATTCTGTTGCAATACCTGGAGAAGTGGCAAACACCAGGTGGATGTGATCAAATCTCCACTCTATGAGATATGTTCCAAACCTGCAGGAAATCTCAGGGTTGATTGCCAATCCTGGAAGACAATAATTTTTTTTTAATAGCTTAAGGTAGACTGAAAGCTTTTATAGTTGAGCTATACCAAGAAAAAAGTAAAACTAAAACATTTATTACCAAACCAGGTCAGAGTAATTCTTCATGTATTAAAAGACACATTCTATCTCTCCATGACAAGGCTACAAAAATTCTATAACATCTTAGTATTGATTAATTAAATCAAATAAAGTAATTTTAAACTTTGTTCTGTTACATTTAAGATACAGCCTTACATATAACCATTCCTACCTTATGGTTCTAAGGATTGTTTCTTACACACAGAGCACAAATAATACTTCTGAAACAAAGCATTACCAAAGTCTAAGGCTCAGTGCTTTCAGACTGATTTTCAGTGGTGTTCAACACATGACACTTTCACTGTAATTGGTGTAAGCGTAGAACAAATTAATCAGATCATTAAATCTTGCTGGTTATAATCTAGGAAAGTTCTTATCTGCTTCACCTAAGAAGAGAATTATCAGTTTCCTGTTCTTTCTGTTTCTTTTAAAAGACATTAAGATGCTACTGATAATTCTGGTACAGAGAAAGGAATAAGCATATTGACATTTATTCCAGCAAATCAATATACCCAGTATCTGCTATGTATTGTCTGTAGATTTACCAGTTTAATTTTATCTTCTTAAGAAGTAATTATTTTACCTTTGTGCTTAGATATGATGCTGTGAAACAAAGTTATATCTGTGAATCTACTCAGTAAATCAACATCCTATATATTAATTTTTCTTGGCTACTTCACAGTGAGGATACAGCATTCCTTTACTGACAGATGATATTATTAAATATTTAGCTCACACAGTAGATAATTGGAATGTTTCTGCTGTAAGTATTAATTTACTCATGCTGGTGATTCATGTTGATCCACATGAGAAAAACTGTAGCTAAATTCACACTAAAGCTGTAGGAATCAACAGCTGAATCAGAAGATAGAAATTGCCATCTAACCCACACAGCTGCAGAGAGATGGAACACAGGCACCTTAACAATTTATCATATTAGCTTTGTCCACAATTCAAATTTTTTTGCAATTCCTCTTAGGATGCACAGTACACTGTTGGACTGTATCATGTTATTTCCCTTTTCAAATTCTAACTCTAAAAAGAATAGTGTATTTTTAAAATTTAAAGTTAACTTAGGATTTTTTAAATGGAAGATGTGTGGCTACTGATTTATAATTCTGTATATGACCAGTGTTTCATCTTGCCTGTGATGCTTGCAACATGGCTAAACTAGCAAAGGTTTCCTGTGCTATTAATCCATGGCAAAATTGGGCTATTGCCTAGAGGAAGACATGAGTCTAATGATATGCAAATTCTTAAATGAGCTGGTTTCCATTAATATTGTGTAATAAACCAAATTCAAATTCTCCTACTTCAATTCACATTTACTCAGTCCCTTTAGAATCCTGTATTACAGACTGAATGTAGCTTGGAGAGCTGTGCCTAAGCAGTATTAGAAAATGGAATAGATTTTATTTCCATGAGGACACAAACCAACAGCTTCAGCCTGTGCATGGTATCATGCTCTCTATGGTATGGATGGATATGTGTGTTGGATCCCTGGAATCTACATCCCATTCCCTCCCCTCAGCATAGTGCCTTTTTTTGTATTCAACTGGAATAAATGCAGCAAGCAAAATAAATACCACAAGAACGCTTCAGCCATCTTTTTCTTTCTAGTAGGAATGTAAATATTTATCTGTTCAGAATATTGTTTGGAAAACTGAAGGCATCACAGATTATGCAGGTTCCATAGAATCTCTGCAAGGGCTGATAACTCATGACAATGGGAGCAAAGTCTCTTCACTTGACACACATTTTTATGGTGGTTGAACAGGCAACTGCAGTTTCAGGATTTTTCAATTTTCATGGTATTTCATCAAGGAAGAATAGCAATACTACATGTTCATTAATAGATTTAATAATTTCTCCTACTTCTCCATGTTTGCAGAAAAATATTGATATTTGAATAACTTGGATACAGTTTCCACTAAACACTAGGTTGACACGAGGACTGTGGCAACCTCTCACATGAATAAAAGAACTGTGGAATTGCACAGACATAGCAGCACAAGACTGACACTTGGGTGGGAAGCAGAATTAGGAAAATGCAAACCAGAAATTTTCCTAAGATTCTTCTAAATGGTTAATGCCCCTACAATTTGACTATTTATATGTTGTCTGTATTTTACTTGGAAGTTTCCCTGACACCCTCTTGCTGTTCAGACACTAGAAATAGTAATCCTGTATAAATTACTGAGTGAAAACTTGCCTTGAGAGATTACTTTACACAGAGATCCTGTGAGCACCTTGTCAGCTGTCTCTCTGTACACACATGGTACAAAAAATAAACTCCTGTTTCTCCACGTTTCCCCCTGTGTCAAACAGATATCAATTCAATATTCATCTGGGCTTCTTTCAGAGGCTAACAAAAAACAAAACCTGTTTTAATTGTTTGGTCATCTGCCCTGTGGATGGTTTCTTCATCTTTTTCACACACATTCTGGGGTCATGGTTTATGAACACTGCTTATCAACACAGCTACCAGCTGCCACTTTGGTTTCATCAGCAGGCTGATATACTGGCTCGGGGTAATCTTGTTCATGTATTGATCTTTCTCTTGAATCTAACACTCTTCTATAAAAACAATCATGAACCTGATGGTTCAAATTTAAACAGCTGCAGAGTCATTAATTAAAAAGTAATTCATGTTAGTAATTTAAAATATGTGCTTGAATATTTATGTACCTCTCTGGACTAGAATGTGAGTATACAGCACTCATTAATGGAGATTTAATTTAATTTGTCAATTTGTTTGAGTTAAACTCCACTAGATTAAAAACCAGCAGTAAACAAGGAAGGAAACAGCTGCAGCTACAGCTGCTGCTTTGTAGCCACTTCAGTTTGGCTCTCCCCAGCATGTACATGTAACTTATATATTACATCAAAAGACACATTAAAAAAATGAGAAGTTGGGCAAGTGTGGAGGAGGAAGAGAGACAGGACATTAATTTCTTACCAGTAAATTATCATTTTAAAAACAGCAGGTGACAATGTAATAAAAATTGTGTAGAGAGTTGCAATGAATACAAATGCCAGGAATATACTGGAAGTGTCCAGCAGTTCTGCTCTGCAGTGGGTCTGTTTGACAACCATTGCTCTGCAGCAGGCATAAACTATTCAGCAGGATTAAATATTTAGCTGTGCATCAGCATATCTCAGTCCTGGACCCTCGTGAGCCCAACTTTTAGCAAACTGACAGTTCTGAGGCAATACCATGGGGCCATTAATTGCCACTGTCGTGGTGGTTCCAGCATGCCCAGAGCCTTGCCCTGTGCAGCAGAATGTTTGCAGAGGTGTTGTGGCTGGCAGAGTTGGGTTCTCTTTGAACTGTGTTACCACTGAGCACAGTTAGAACTAAAATACCACATATTTAGAAAAAAGGAGTATGAAGAGCAATGTGGTTTAAGGTCAATTGAAAATGTTTCACTGCACTGGCTTGTGCTGAAATCTCTCAGACAAACAAGCAGCAGCTCAAAGCAAATTGAATGGTTACATGAACAGCTCTGGAATGAGACCTGAGAGAAGCATTAATGTGCTGGAGACACAGCACTCTCCATGTGTTTAATGCCATGTATGCCCAATACTGCATGCCATCAAATCAAGCATTTGGGTACCATGAAGTCTCTAAGCAGAGAATTGTGTACTATCAGACACCTGAAAACCCTTTTGATTTGTTCTAACTAGTAAAATCTTAATTTCTGAGAGGAACAAAATCCACAAGTCTGTTTAAAACAGAAAAACTGTAATGCAAAAATGAAGGAAAATCAGTGTTTGTAAGATCAAGTGTGAAAAAGAAGATATATAGTCAAGAAAATATTCCCTTGGTTTCTTCTTTCTGAAGGAAAGTAAAACTTCCTACAAAAAAAAAAAAAAAAAAAGAGTGAGATTTAATCAAAAAATAAGGAAAAAAAAATAGAAAATACTTCCTACAATACATAAGGCAGTCAGCTGTGCTCAGTTTGAAAAGCCTGACTTGCTCTTGGCTCTGTAGTACAAGTGTGTTAATTGTTCCCTTTGGAGAGGAACCAATTTTTTTGAAAAAAAAAAGTAAAATAGCTTTTGCATGTTTTGTACTACAGTTGTTCTACAAATCACCGGTAAACTACTTTTATTTTTCATACTTGTTAAACTGACATGGGGATCAAAAAAAAAAAAATCTAATTATTGCAGCAATTAATAATTGTAGATAGTTCTACAGAAGCACAGCTCTGAGAACTACAACTCCCTCTGTGCTAGAGAAAAATACATGAGTATGGTCTGGAAAATTAAAATAATTTTAATCACTAAAGAGTTACAGTAGTAAAACGTAGATCAAAGTTATATTCTACAGTTGCAAACCATAAGAACAAGTCATAAATGTAACTATATTAAGGCCCTATTTCTTTTTTAGCCTAAGATAGTTTAAAAAACATGGAGGGAGAAGGTATACATGAAATAATGCATTATTTAGGTAATGAATTCCTTTCTACAGATTTGTATGCTGATGATATTGGACAGTAGAGTCAATCTCAGCAGAAGAATGCAGGTCAAGTATTTTGGCATGAGATTCATACTTTTTAATTTTCTGTCCAATCTACAATCCATGCAGTCTTGTATCATCAGCTTCCAGTAATTCTCTTTTCATCCTTTACCGCATTCTTTAAGTTTTCTTTCCTGGAGTCTTTGTTATAGAATTACAGGGTTTAATAAACCAGACCAATAACTTCCCACCTCAGTATATTTGTTAGCTACCTGTTATCTAATACTATATCCAGTTTGATAAATTTATTTAATTTTTTTTTTCAAAGAGTAGTTTCATCGCAGTTTCAGTATTCTGGAATGGAAATTGTCTATCTCCTCTTCATCCTTATTATGACACTTAATTTCCGTTTTTTTTCGAGATATGCTTATTTTCATTTCA